AGAACACAACGATGACGAAAGCCAGTAGTAGTAGGCAAATGTCCGATCTCACTATTTTGCCGCTGTGGGCAAAAATGAATATTTACTACAGATTAAAATGAATGAAAAAAACTAAAACAATCGACATAGCCCGACGGATAAGCAAGCTGAAGTGGCAATGGGCTGGTCACTTAGCTTGAAGAATCGACAACCTATGGGGAAGAAAAGTTCTTGAGTGGCGATTCTGTACGGGCAAATGCAGTGTGGGACGACTCCCCACTAGATGGAGTAACGACCTCAAATGCATTGCAGGCAATCCGTGGATGCAGGTGGCTTAGGACCGTACCTTGTGACAGTCTTTGTGGAAGGCCTATGTTTAGCAGTGGACAAATAATGGCTGAGATGATGATGATGATGATGATGATTATAATGAATGATCATCTAAATCGTTGTGACTTAACTTTGCCGTTATGAGCAAAAATAAACTATTTCCGCCCTTTACAATGAACGCCCATGTTAACTAACAATGAGCTACTTCTGCCTCTCTCGTAGTTGTTTTGCATTTGCCCGCCTGACGCTCCCTGGATCGGGCCCTGCCCTGATCTTAAAAACATGTCACAATCAACTATATTAGCATCATTAAAAATGGTGACAAAAGGCGTTAACAAACAAGGGTTATTGACTTGTGACAGCGTTTAGATATTTCGACATATTTATTTGCATTGAAAAAGTGGAGGCTGCATGTTAAATTCTTTGTCACGAATCACACGTATCTGATCTTTGTTATGCACAATTAGAACATTTTTCATGTACACCTACTTAGTCATTTAACTGTCAATTTTCTAGTGAGATTGGGAAATAATTTATTTTATTTATTTATTTATACTTTATTATATACACTGATAATTCATAAAAATATGAGAGAGCTAAGTAAATGTACAAAGGCGAGCTTAACTCGAAAAACAAAATGTTCTCTTCCAGCAAACCCAAAGTGGAAAAGAGCATCAATGTCAGCGGGTAGAGCGGTGTACTTGTGACAATTTTCAAACAAAAAGAATTTTATCATATTTAATCGTATCTATATATACTTTTTTTTTGGTGGTTTTTTTTTTTGTTGGATGAAAATGGATTGGTAACCCCGCCTGCGCTAACGGGATACGCTGGCGGAGCACCAGTGAAGGGTGATCGATGAGAATGAAAACAGGCAGCTAGCCCATCATGATGAATTCATTATGAAAAATTAATCATGACAGTTTCCAGGGGGAACCGCGTGGAGGTCGACCTGGTTAGGTATATTGCTAGCAATGGGATTTTTAATCTCCATTACTAACAATCCCTTTCCCCCCTTTTTTTGGTGGGTGGAAATGGAATGGTGCCGCCTATGCTCACGGGATACGCTGGTGGAGCACCAGTGAAGGGTGATCGATGAGAACGAAAACAGGCCAGTTAGCCTATCCAGTTACTATCCAGGGGGAACCATGAGGAGGTCGACCTGGTTGGGTATATTGCTAGCAATGGGATTTTAAGTCTCCCTTACTAACAATCTTTTTCCCCCCTCCTCAAATGCATTGTAGAGAGTCAATGGTTGCAGGTGGCTCAAGACGGTTCTTTCGGACGGAGTTTCTGACGGAGAGGCCTATGATCAGCAATGGACATATAATGGCTGAGATGATGATGATGATGATGATAAACAGATAATTACACCTTTAATATAGGTCGTTAGTAGATAATAATTAATTCAGCTACCACGAACTATATTCCGAATTGAAGAAGTATTTCGATGCATGAACAGTGATCATGCATCGCCATATATGCGAGTTGCAAGATATTAAAGATATCATCTATAATATATTAAGTGATAGTTTATATTAACCGGCACACCCTTGGCACCCCCATACTTTGTCACATTTTATTTTACGATGTCCCATAAAAATAAGGTACATTAATTTGTGGCAACGACAATTATTTTCGATTGAATCTATTAGACGAGTATAATATTTCAAACATTTCGACTTTTATAGTCTTATAAAAAAATAATGAAAATAATTATAATATTAATTGTAATAAATAATCGGATGCCATGAAAAATCGTATTCAAATAGGTTTATGCATCTGGGAGGTGTAATTCTGCAGTAAAATATAAACAGAGACAAAAGCTTCAAACTTCTTTTTAACTTTTCAATCGACGAAAACCAGAGGGAGACTGTACAAACGTTGTTTACTTGGGCACCTTTGTCCCATTCTTGTTTCTACCGTGAAACAGTTGTGTTTGCATGTCTGTATTTAAGTTCGAAGGGTGGGATATGATAGTGAATTTACAGGCTTCAGAGGAATAACACTTGAGTCCTCAGGAATGAGAACGCATGAGGGGTGTCATGGGCGAAACAGTGTACTCTGTTATGTCCATGGTACTGCTCATGTCTGTAGGCGACGGTTGCTGCTTTCCATTGGATGGGCAGTCAGCTTGTTTGACATTATCAGTTGCATAAAAAAAACTATAATACTGCAGTAAAATACAAATAGAGACAAAAGATTCATTTTTTTTAACTTTTCAATCGACTTCAAAAAAGGAGCTTCTCATTTTAATTGTATCTTTTTTTAGGTAAGAAATATATTTCTTACCTCATAACTCTTCATTAACCGATTTGGAAATGTATTTTTTATCTAAAAGATATATTCTTTTATATTGATTCTATTTAAATTTTATTAAAATCGAACGAATAGTTTAGTTTTTAAATCAAAGTACTGCCTAGATTGATGCCAGTATTTATTTCCGTGAAACAAATTTTTTTTTATAGAATTATGATGGCCAACAAGCAACCCCGTCTTATGGTAAACGAGGTTACCGTAGTCTATGGACGTCTGTAACACCATGAATATTACGTGCACGTTGCCTATCCTTAAGAAATCTTAATACGCCCTTTTTGAAGAACCCTATGCTGTAGTCTCTAGGGAAAACCTCGGCAGGAAGATCATTCCACAACCTGAGTGTTTGCACGAGGAAGCTCCTCTAAAACCATACTGTGTGTAACCACTATTTTGGCGGTGGGATTTTAAAATAATTGCGATGTTTAATAATAAAGAACTACCGTCAATCATTAATGATCGAAATTACATCATACATTTACAGGCACCAGTTGGTTGGTACAACGGTGTCCAAAGGGGGAAAAGAGATTGTTAGCATTGAAGTTTGACAGCCCCATTGCTAGCAATATGCCTTATTAGGTCAACCTCCACGTGGTTCCCCCTGGAGACCGTCGTGAACAATTCTTGTGGAATTCGTCACGATGGGCTAACTGACCTACTTCATCCTCACCTATCACCGTTCACTGGTGCCCCGCCGGTGTATACCGATAGCGCGGGTGGGGTTACCATTCCATTAGCATTCATTAAAAAAAAATGGTGTCCAAAGTCTTATCCTAAATCGATCGACCAAAAATAAACTGTTTCCAGAGAAACCAAAAAGAAATCTACACAGCCCATTGAACACCTGCCCTAATTATAATCCCTAACATCGAAACCTGTTTATAAACAAAAAGTGGACCAACTTATCTGAACATTCATCGAAATCACCTTCACTCTTAACGACCAGGAATAAGGTCTAAAATTGAATAACATTACAATAATATTAATACATTCATGTGAATACAAGTTGAAACTTGCAGCATCTTGGTCATTTTCTTTTTAATACAAGACTACTTTATAATATCTTTTTTATTGAAAGTTTGTTCTCCGCTTATTTGAGGTCATGTTTGTTTTATTCTATTGTAGTTAAGGGTCACATAGATGTGAATGGATGCCGCCAATAGGTTTACTAGTATATTTGGGAGAAAAGGGAATTATTAGTGAAGTCTAACTGACCCCTTGCTAGCAATGTACCCTATCAGGTCGACCTCCACGGGGTTTCTCATATAAACTATCGTATCGTCACGATGGGCCAACCGACTATTTCATGAATTTACCGGTACCTTTCCTGCACTGGATTACCCAAATTAAATTATTTTCTCTCTAACTACACTGGGTTGGCTGGAAGAGATCTCTTTCAGAGATAAAAGTCCTCCCTTGCTAACAAGTTGTTAAACTAATCGTCGCATGTATTGTTTAAGTGCAATAAAGAGTATATATATAATGTGGCAGCGAAAACGTAACTATCGATTATTTGTTTTTCATTTATCTTGTAGGTCTGAGGAAATTATCTTATTTTGCCCACTCATAGAAGTGAGCTAAGTAGATGTAATCGCCTTTTATGGCATAATGATATAGTTAGTACTTATGTAAATGTATATCTATGTTGTTACCCATATAAATAAGTAAAATTAAAAATTAAAAAAAAAAAAACAAAATAACTTCTACATATTTGAAAAAATAAGAATGCCAATTTAAACCGAGAACAGTTTAAATACACCATAGCAACCTACTAATGTCCCACTCCAGAGCAAGAAAAAATAATTAAACAGAAAAATATAGGCCACTACTAAATATAGTACTAGTATTAGTTTATACTACATACATAGCTAGTAGTATGATAATAGGGCGGTTTGATATAGAATTGATGTTAAGTTTTCCTTATCTTGCACTAGTATATTGTACTTTGTTTTACTCGTATCAGAATTATTACCTCCTGAGAAGGAACGTCAACACATATTCTTAACTCTCCCAATCATGTTATTAATAAATTAATATAATATTACAAAAACACGGAACAATTCAAATGTAACAACCGGTTACCATCTTTTCATACGTAGAAACTGCATACTAGCGCCATCTGTTAGACTTTTCACTTATCTACCCAATTGCATTACATGTGCAGTGGAAATTCGCTAATACAAATATGTTATTTTTTTTTATTTTACTGCATTTTACAGATAATTATGAAGAAAAATAATTATAATTAGTCGTTATTAAATAAAAAAATTATTAAACACAAAAAATAGCATTTGTAATATCAAAAAGATAACATGATAAAACAATTTAATAATTTCAAAAAGTAAATTTGTAAAATAAAAAAATAATAATCTTACCTCATACGAAATTGTTTACATAATCCAAAATAAACAAATAATCCAAAAGTCACTAAAGTACACGATAATGAATCCACTAACTACCACGACACAAAAAAATCCACTCTATTATATCGTAATATCTATTCACAAAAAAGTTTTTAATTAAAAAAAAAACAAAAACACTTTAAATTTGGAAAAAAAAGTTAAACGTCACAATACGAGTTCAAAAATCGGATTCGAAATTTGAATAAGGCGCGAAACGTCTCATCCGTCAGCGGTAAGGACGGGCGTGCGTCGCCACTCAACGGTTACGGCACACTGTGGCCAACTAAAGCAACTGGTAACAATGCATCGAAACGAGGTATGCGTGACGTTTGATAAGTCCGCGCATGCATCAGATGCAATGCATCTAACAATTAGCGCTTTCAATCCTAGTGCTTTTCAGCTTTTGTTGGCAAATGTTATTAGCCAAACAGCACAACCGTGTACCTGTCTTGTTTGTTCGCGTTTTCCGATGTATATATTGTAAACACAAAATAACTGGTTTAACATTACGTACTACTAGAGCAATTACGAAATGCTAGCATGTTGAATAATATATCTCGAAGTTATTTATTGAAGTAATATGTACAAGTTAGTATTATGAAGATATAACATCTCAATCCTTCACCATAGAGACGCATGAGGGGCCACCATGGATGTCACAGTGTATTCTGTGTTGTTCTCTTACTATTTATATTTATAAGCTACATCTATTAGGAAGACTGTTATCTTATTTGCACCTTTAAATTGCATACAATATCTTTTTTGTTTTTTTTTTCTTATTAACTTAAAGTCTTATTTTCAATTCTGAATTAGATTTTTTTTTAATTGAAAATCAATTTGCTTTTAAAACACAGTGAGCATATCTATCAATCTTTAAAATGGTGCTACTGATTTAGATTTTTTTTAATTGGTGATAATGGTATGGTAAGCTCGCATGCGCTATGGGTATACGCTGGCGAGACACCAGAGAGGGATGATAGGTGACGATGAAAGCAAGTCAGTTTGCTCATAGTGATGAAATCCACTAGAACTAACCACGATGGTTTCCAGGGGAACCGCGTGGAGGTATGTTTGTTTACCACCTCGGTGGTATAAAAAAATATACCCACTAACAACAAAAACACCTAAACCAATAAAAACAGGCAAATAAACATGAAGGTGGCATACGTATTAATCTCTGTCGAACTTTTTTTGCAACTATCAAGATGTCAAGTGGATACAAATGTTAAAACAATTTTTTTTCATTCAGCACTTAAGTGACTCTCAACATTTGGAACGTTTACTTTTTTTAATTGCTCTAATTTTTGAGTGTCAATTGGTTTTGACATTTAGCTATTATCTTTCGAATACAACTTATAATACGACATATGGCTACCAGATGTTCGATTTTTAAATTCAATGCTTTTTTTAATAGTAGTAGTATTAATTTATCCACAATTGGAAAGGTAAAGGAACTAAGCCATACAGCCTGATCATCAGTAATCTTTTTTTTAGTTACAATTAAAGTACAAAATATTTTAAAACTTATTAGTTCAGTTTATGTTGAAGAGCATTCAATACAAAACTGAAGCTTGTCAAAGTGCAAATGTGCAAGAATTTTAAATTAATTTTTGTTAATTTTGAGAATTTTTTTTAAATATTTCTACTAATATAAATTGAATTAGAAATTTTATTAAGTAGGTACGTATTACAACAGTAGGAAATACAATATTATAATTTATATAATAATAACTATGCATAACATTTCAAAGTCTGCACTAATAGTTCAGAATAATTATATTTATTTTATTGTGTTAATTTATCCTAATTTTTTTTTTTTTAATTTAAAACTTAATAATTTTAAGAAAAGAATATCGTTTGGTTATGAAATAAAAAAAAAAAAGAAAGAAATAACCATATACTTATTATCTCTTCTCACTTTTATATTTTTAACTAGAAATGTATTAGACAAATTACAAAAAAAATTTTGGAGTTGGAGAGATAACTAGCAATTTTTAGTTTATTTATTAATGTTAATAGGCAATTAATTAGTAACTGGTCATTATAATAATAATAATAATTATTATTATTATTTACACTTTATTTTAATTACATCATAATTAACTTAAAATTTTACATTGTTTTTGCTAAACATAGGTTTTGTTTATAGTCTGCCATAAGGAACAATCCTGCGGCATTTACAGCCATCGATTCTCTGCAAAGCATCACGTCATCAGGGTCTATCTAGGGCTGCAAATAAGGCATATGAAGACAAAACTATTTCGAGCACTGAATATCATTGCTCCATAGTAAATATGAGTTGGACGTCCGCCTAATCATGTGATAATTCAATAACAAAAATAAATTGAATTCGCTAGGTACCTAGGATGTTATAATTTTTAAAGATATACATATCGATCTAGAACCAAAAGGAATGAAAAATCATAAACAAGGTAAGAATTCTTAAATAATTTTAATGCTCTTTTCTCACTAACACGTGCTTACACAACTTAACGCACAAAACCTTGCATAGTCGGATAAAAAAGGAAGAAATTAATCAACATCAGAGTTTATACAATCCCAACTGAGCAAGAACACAAAAAACAGAAAAACCATTGCTGAAGATGTAATTTTAAAACAACAGTAAAAAAGACAATGTATCCGAAAAAGCGAGACCATAAACTAGCGGGCGGGGGTCTACACGAAACGACCTTGCGCCAAGGTTTTATAGTTACAAAAAAAAAACATTAAATTCACACCACAACTCTATTGTCTCATAGAATATTAAACAAAAAAAATCCTTTACAACATTTTCCTTGGCGTAATTCTCAGGCTACTTTAAAAACGATACACAATATATCTCGGTTTTTTATGTATGCGTCCATCTCTTTTTTCTCGGCATCTCGTTTTGTACCACCTGTCGTTTGTGTCTACAAAAAAAAATCACCTTTATCGCACAGTAAATATAGTTCAAATTTGTTTGCAAATTGTATTAGATTGACTCCAACTGGTTTCTTTGCAGTACACACGATTTCTCAGCATTATTCGATAAAAGTCTGATTAAATTAATCGAATAATTGAGATTGAATATTGCATACGTTCATTTTAAAAGCAATGCAACCAGCAAATTATATGTTACTGTCAATCAATCGACGAATTGTGAAATAACTGGATGTACTCGCAAGTTACGTAACCACGGGTAAAGATATATCAAAAATAACGGACAAGTGTGAGTTGTGAGTTTTTTTTTATGGGTGAAAATGGTATGGTAACCCCGCCTGCGTTAACGGGATACGCTGGCGGAGCACCTGTGAAGGGTGATAGATGAGAATGAAAACAGGCCAGTTAGCCCATCATGATGAATTCCTCAGGAATTAACCATGATAGTTTCCAGGGAGAACCGCGAGGAGGTCGACCTGGTTGGGTATATGGCTAGCAATGGGATTCTCAGTCTCCATTACTAACAATCCCTTTCCCCCGTGAGTTGTGAGTTGGAATACAGGTTCAAATAATAATAAAGAATGTGAAAAAAAAGTTAAGTCAACATGGCATTAACAAAGGCTTTCTATAGGTGAAAAAATTTTGAGTTTATTCATAATATTTTTTACCATATAATTTTAGGCACCATATATTTTATGCTTTATATACAAACCTTATAAATATTCTCTCCTTTTGGGTTCTCAAGGTTGACTAAAAGAAATCCCTTTAAGTGAGATAAGTCCACCTGTGTACATTTTTTTTATAAACTAATATTTATATTATAAGTGAATATACAAAAGCATATAAATACTTAAACACACATAAAAAAATATATTTTCTCTACATAATATTACTATAGATAATATAAGTATATTTTACATGTACTTATTTTATTATTATTTATTTTGCTTCCACAGAAACTCCGATTATGAAATAGGTATCCCCGTGTTTCGACATAAAATAGGCCATCCGTTCCTTTCCCGTGGGTGTCGTTAGAGGCAACTAAGGAAGAGCGAGGGATGGGTAGCAGCGTCCCTCGTAAAACATCTTCAAAGTCTACCTATTGACCTATTCGCCTGCTAAGCGTGGCAACTATTGGTAAAACCCCCCATGGGGAGGCTTTTGTTCATTAGTGGACAATTAAAGTCTGATATGATAATGATGACAAGATAAGTATCTAATTACTTAGCTCTTAACTGGAAAAATATCTTTTACCTAAAAAATTTAACCCTTCTTTGCATAATTTTTTTTATTGGTGAAATTAAAGTCATATAATCATAGTGATATAATTCATGTTTAAAATTAAAGGAAAAATGGTTAAAACAATAAATTTGACAGCTATGTTTTTTTTTTATGCAATGGACAATAAAAAAATATCAAGACACAATCAACTTAAAGTGAAGTTGGTTTTTTTTTTTAAGTTTTAGGCATTCAATGTTATGATGGAAATTTCCACCAGTATGCAAAGAAGGGTTAATTCATTCTAAACACTAAATTGATAAAATAATAAATACATACAATTCATGGAATGTTCATATTGTAATACAATATTCGATTCGCTGAATTTATAATATTTCTAAGAATTAATTCTTTGCTACTACGTACGAATGGATTTTCAGAAAACATATGCCAGATTTCACGTTACACCTTAAAAACTGTCACTACTAGTTAAGAAACTCCAGTTATGTTTTTTTACGAATAAATCTCATTTCAAAATATTATTTCAATATTTTTTTTTTATCTGAAACGATATACGAGCAATCAGATCGATCTCATCGAAATCTTATCAAAATCGATCCAGCATGTTGGTTTTTAAAATAACTGGTTTCGCCACTTGTGAAGCCGGTTTTTTTTGGGGAATAAAATTATAAATTATATACCAAGGCCGTGATGGAATAGTGCACAAGACAGGAACAGAGGACAGTCGGTAGACCACTAAACCGATAGTTTATTTTAAAGATGATAATGGAATGGTAACCCCGCCTGCGCTAACGGTATACGCTGGCGGAACACCAATGAGAGAATACACCTATTCAGCACGATGGTTTCCAGGGGGAACCGCATGGAGGTCGACCTGATCGGATATATTGCTAGCAATTGGACTGGTACTTCGTATTACTAACAATCCCTTTCCTCCACCAACCTGATGGTTGTATAACATAGTGCGGATAGCGGGGACGCAGTGGATGAACTTAGTACAGGACTGCTATAAATAGCGTGACAAAAAGAAGACCTATGCCTAACAGTGGATCATCATCATCATTATCATCATATCAGCCTTTAACTGTCCACTGTTAAATATAAGCCTCCCCTTGGGCGGTTTTG